CCAAGCCAAGGTGGATCTCATCTTGTGTATACAAGCCCATCCGTTCATCACAACCCACACATGCTTGAAACTGTTGGGACACATGGCAGCCTGCACATACGTGGTCCGGCACGCACGGCTCCACCTCAGGCTGCTACAAGCTTATGGCTTATGTCCCCAACCAGCACAACCTGGATCGGGTGGTCAGAATTCCAGACAGTGTACTGTTATCTCTCACCTGGGGGCAAGATTCCACGCTGCTATTGGAAGGAGTCCCCTTTGTGGCTCTGGCCGCACTGATGACCCTCGTCTCCGATGCTACGGACCTGGGGCGGGGAGCCCACCTCGGCGATTTCAGTATGCAAGGTGATTGGTTCAGTTGCGATTGCTCCTTGCATATCAACGCCAGGGAACTCAGGGCGGTTTGCCTGGCTTGCCAAGCCTTCCTACCTCATATGCAGGGAAAAGTGGTTCAGGTACTTACAGACAACACAGCAGCTGTGTTCTATATCAACAAGCAAGGCAGAGCCAAGTCGACAGCCCTCTGTCAAGCCCTCAGGCTCTGGGACCTCTGTCTGCAGTACAGTATACATCTCATTGCAGTGCACTTTTTAGGGGCCAAGAACGCCTTGGCAGATCGCCTCAGCAGGACCTTCTTGTCTCACCATGAGCGGCCCTCCATCCAGAGGTGGTCAGTTTCATCTTCCACAAGTGGGGAATTCCCTGGTTGGACCTGTTTGCGTCCAGGCAGAACAGGAAATGCCATGTCTTTTGCTCAATGAGAGGCTTGGATGGGGCAGGAGGCCCTGTCAGATACTTTTCTACTCCTGTGGTCAGGGGCTCTGATGTACGCCTTTCCTCCAGTGCTGTTGTTCCCCAGGGTCCTCTCAAAGATCAGGCAGGACAGAGCAAGAGTGATCCTCTGGCCACACCAGCACTGGTACAGCGTGCTGCTGGACCTTTCGGTGGCGATTACATTCCAGCTGCCTCTCAGGCCGGACTTGCTATCCCAAAACCACAGCAGTCTTCTGCACCCAAATCTGATGGCGCTGCACCTGATGGCTTGGCTGCTGCATGGTTGAACAAGCGGGAGCAGCAGTTCTTGGCAGATGTTCAGCAGATCCTGTTGGGAAGTAGAAAGCCCTCTACCAGGGCAACTTACCTGGCCAAGTGGAAGTGGTTCACATGTTGGACCTCGGAGAGAGGCATCTAGCCCGAGCAGACCTCGTTGCATTCATTCTAGAATACCTTCTGCATCTCAAGCTCCAGGGTTTGTACCTTTCATTGATCAAGGTCAAGGTCACCTGTCAGCCATCTCAGCATTCCATCTGCTGCTTGAGGGCAGGTCTTTGCCCAGGACATTCCTCAAGGGCCTTTAGCACCTCTACCCACATGTCAAGGATCCTGTTCCTCTGTGGGACTTGAAGCTGGTGCTGTCATGGCTCACGGGTCCCCCTTTTGAGCCTTTGGCTTCCTGTTCTCTCCTTCTCTTGTCCTGGAAGGTTGCGTTCCTGGTCATGGTGATTTCAGCCTGTCAGGTCTCGGAAATTTAGGCGCTCACCTTGGAACCATGTTATATAGTTTTCTACAAGGACAAAGTACAGCTGAGATTACACCTGGCTTTCTGCCCAAGGTGGTCTCTCACTTTCATTCAAGCCAGGACATTTACTTACCAGTCTTTTTTTAGAAGTTGCATAAGTCAGAGGAGGATAGTAGGCTGTATGCCTTGGACGTTAGAAGGGCTCTAGTCTTCTACATTGACAGGACCAAGCCATTCCCTAAGTCTATGCAATTGTTCATCGCAGTGGCTGACAGGATGAAGGGCACCCTATATCCTCCCAAAGAATTGCCTCTTGGATCACCGCCTGCATTCACTTCTGCTATCATCAAGTGAAGGTGCTGCCCCCGGCGATTGTCACCACCCACTCAACCAGGGCACAGGCCTCTTTGGCAGCTTTTCTGGCCCAGGTGCCTATCCAGGACATGTGCAGGGTGACCACCTGGTCATCCATCCATATGTTTACGTCCCACTATGCACTGACCCAGCAGGCCCGGGACGATGCTAGCTTTGGTAGGGCAGTACTGCAAGCTGCGAAACAGTGAACTCTGAGCCTACCTCTGTAGATACTGCTTCTGAGTCATCTAGAATGGAATCAACATGAGCAAGCACTTGAAGAATTAAAAAACGGTTACCTTTCGTAACTGTTGTTCTTCGAGATGTTGCTCATGTCCATTCCATTATCCGCCCTCCTACCCCTCTGTCGGAATTGCAAGCAAGAAGGAACTGAGAGGGCGTAGAGTCGGCGGCGCCTAATATACCAATGCATGAGAATGGCACTCAAGGGGGTGCCACAGCCAACCCTACAGATACAGCGAAGGCAAAAGTCTCCGACAACTCTGCACGTGGGCATGCCTATACCTATTATGGAATGGACATGAGCAACACATCTTGAAGAACAACAGTTACGAAAGGTAACTGTTTTTTCTGCATAATTTAACTAAGACAGTTTGACTAGAGAGGGGATGTTGGCAATAGTACAAGACAAACTACGAGGGCATTGCTTAAATTACATGAATATCTTTAGACAGAGAAGGTGGGTGAGGTAATATATTTTACTGGACCAACTTCTGCTGGTGAACAAGATAAGCTTTCAAGCTTACACAGATCTCTTCTTCAGGTCTGGGAAAGGTACTCAGAGTACCACAGTTCAGTTGGTCCAATAAAAGATATTACCTCATCCACCTTGTCTCTCTAATACCTTGGGACAAACATAGCTATAGCAACACTGCAAACATGACTATCTTTGTAAGTTATCTGGCAAGTGCAGGTCTCCTGTTTGGTTCTGTTATATTGTAACTCTATTTAAAATACATTATTGTTAGCTGAAAGTACTGACAACTTGCTCAGATTGTCAGAATATGCACCACAGATAAATCAGCAATAGAGGATCAGCAAAACATTATTTAGTTCTGCGTTAAAATTTTTTATAAAAATCACAAACCATATTACCTGGCAGCTGATGGATCAAATTTACCATGGTAAAAATGGATATAACACCACTTACTTTGATGGAATTGTATCTACCTATACCAGTGATAAAGTTCGCCTGATATCTTTTTGATCATGCTTGAGTAGATGGTGTGAAGGAAGTCTATGGATTATATAGTTGTAAACAGGAATAAAAATACAAACATCATAAACTGAATTAGAGAGATCCATGTTACTGCTACTGGTTTGTACAATGTCTAGCTCAATGGGGGCTGATATTGGTAGGGGCCACTAAACACTGCTGTAATGCAAGCACATAAAAATAGAATTCTTGTTTGTTTGTTTAATGCATGATATAACTTTTATCTATCCTGGATAACTAAGGACTCAGTACTTTGTCCATGAAGGTATAAACTGACTCTGTTCAGATAGTGTTCTGTAGTTTTCTAAAAATAAATGCATAAAAGGTTATATATATTCTACTTATATATGTTCTCATACATAAGTTTAGCAACCTTAATTTTGTTGAGGGAGTAGGCCACCAGTTGGGTAGCTAAAAGCTTGGAAATATGTTTTTATAATATAGCATTTATTTCATTCTTGGAGACTGTTGACATTCTGCATTCTCTAAAGATACAATCCATGCAGGATTTTGACTACAGATCTTACCTCCTTAGCAGAAGATGATGGAACTCTTCTAGTTTGTGAGTCTTGAGGGCAGCAGTAGTGGGATAGGAGATATGGGTTGCACTCTACTTGTCCTTGTGAGCCTTCTGAACATTCCACTCAGTTTCTTCAATGGTAGGCAAAGTTCACAGAAAGAAAATGCCAATTCTGGATGTTCAACATGAGGTGTTTAAAAAATAAAAAAAGAGGGGGGGGGCTCCTGAGATGAGATTTTCCTGCAGAAAAATTAAGTACATGATGAAAGAATCAAGGGGACCTGGCTTATCTTCTCCGTTCCTACGGTTGTCCTCAAGGATTAAAACCTGAAGCTCTAGGAGTGTTCTTCCGCTATATTGCTAAGAAGTTAACGTTAGGGATAGAGAATCCTTCAAATTGATATATTCAGAGAAGCAGGATTACAAGTAAGACATTTTCTCTGTCATTATTTGTCCTAAGGAAGACCATAATAAGTAGGGCTGTACCAAATTAATGGCCATGAAAAACACGTCATAGACTGTGAAATCTGGTCTCCCACCGTGAAATTTGGTCTTTTGTGTGCTTTAACTCTGTACTCTACAGATTTCATGGGGGAGACCAATGTTTCTCAAATTGGGGGTCCAGACCCAAAAGGGAGTCGCAGGGGGGTTGCAAGGTTATTTTAGGGGGATCATGGTATTACCACCCTTTCTTCTGTGCTGCCTTCAGAGTTGGGTGGCCGTTGAGCGGTGGCTGTTGGCCGAGAGCCCAGCTCTGAAGGCGGCACCCTGCCAGCAGGAGCAACACAGAAGTAAGGGGGACAATACCAGACCAGGCCATCCTTACTTCTGTGCTGCTGCTGGTGGAGGCTCTGCCTTCAGCGCTGGTCTCCCGGCCAGCAGCTGCTCCTCTCCAGCAGCCCAGCTTTGAAGGCAGCACGTCACCAGCAGCAGTGCGGACGTAAGGGTAGCAGTACCTCAACCCGCCTCTACAATAACCTTGTGACACCCTCCCTCCCCCAACTCCTTTTTGGGTCAGGACCTCTACAATTACAACACCGTGAAATTTCAACTTTAAATAGCTGAAATCATGAAATTTACAATTTTTAAAATCCGATGACCATGAAATTGACTAAAATGGACCGTGATTTTGGTAGGGCCCTAATAATAAGGTCAAAACATGTATGTATGTATAAACCTAACTCCTAAGTCTCTATCTGTTTTTTAGAAGTGTGATAAATAGGTATAACCATTCTTTAAAGTTGCATAGAAAATGACTAGAACAAACCTCTAGTACTCAGTTTAGTTTACAGACACACAAATTAGGTAAAGTTGTTAGCAGTGGCATTAATTCTGTCAAATTAATCTCTTTTCTTTTCATTTTTTTCTAGGTGTTTGTTTCAGAATGGTAAGGCAGCGTGCAGTGTGCCAATTTTACATTACAACAGTGTAATATCTCCAATGCTAAAAATATCGTAGGAGGCCTATAGTAGAGTACAAAGGAATCCAGCTGGCGTTTTCAGTCCTTAGCTGGACAGTTAAGTATTGTGTGGTTTTGTTGTTGTTTTGTTAAATCATAGGTTCTTTTTATAGTAGATACATGGTATAGTATAATCCTACTATTAAAGTAGAATTCTTTTAAGAAAAGTTTATTCATATTGATGTTATTGAATTTGTTTGTATCATAGTAATATCTAGAGCAGGGGTCTCAAACTCAAATGACCACGAGGGCCACATGAGGACTAGTACATTGGCCTGAGGGCCGCATCACTGACACCCCACCCTTGCTGCCCCTGGCCTCCACCCCTTCCATGAGGCCCCACCCCTACCCTGGCTCTTCCCACCCCTTCCCTGCCCCCATTCCAACCCCTTCCCCGAAATCCCCACTCCAGCTCCACCCCCTCCCTGCCCCCAGAGGGTGCAGGAAGGGTGCGGGGTGTGGCGGGGGCTCAGGGCAGGAAGTTGAAGTGCAGGAGGTGTGCAGAGTGCGGCAGGGGGCTCAGGGCAGGGAGTTGGGGTGTGGGCTGCAGGAGGGGTGAGGGGTGCGGCAGGAGTTCAGGGTGCAGGGTGCAGCAGGGAGTGCAGGAGGTGTGCAGGGTGAGGCAGGGGGCTCGGGGCAGGGGGTTGGGGTGCAGGAGGGGTTTGGGGGGGAGGGCTCCAGCCCGGCACGCACCGGGAGCAGGGCAAGCTCCCTGCCTGCCCTGACCCGGTGCCACTCCGGGAAGCGGCCGGAACCTGGGGGAGTGGGGTCAGAGGGCTCTGTGTGTTGCCTGGCCGCTCCTCCAGGTACTTCCCCCGAAGCTCCCCGTTGGCCGTGGTTCCCCGTTGCAGGCCAATGGGAGTTGCGGGGGGTGGTGCCTGGAAGCAAGGGCAACACATAGACCCTTATGCCCCCCCCCTTCCCCAGGTTCCGGCTGCTTCCCGGAGCGGCGTGGGGGCAGGGCAAGGCAGGCAGGCAGGGAGCCAGCCCTGCCCCTGGTGCACACCGGGCCAGAGCCGCTCTAGGTAAGCCCTGGGGGGGACAGGGAGCACGGGGAGCTGGCAGGCCACAGAAAATAACCCCGTGGGCTGCGTGTTTGGGATCCCAATCTAGAGGCTTCAGTCACTGACTTTAAACATCATAAAGGCCTGACAATGTGTTGAATGGAACACGTTAGTTTTGAGCTACTGAAGCAACGTGTATTCTCTTTTTATTTTTCTTCATGAAAATAAAAGTGCAGTGTTAATTCTTCAGAGAATTAAAGAAATGAATCTACAGTGCTTATGATTTTTTTTCTGACAGATGATGTCTAATAATCACATGATGTGGAAGTTTGGTCTCTGCAGCTCAGATCCCACCCAAGCTTCTCCACCAGTTCTGAACCTGCAGCAGGAGCATTACAATTCAAAAGAAAGGCAGAAACTCAGAAAACAAGAGGACACGTTTCACAGAGTGGAAATAGCTAGAATACTGTAGTTTCTGAAAATATTGACCTATGTTTAATATTAAACATTAAGCTTTTTCAGTATATGGTTATACTTGTAAAACAGCTGAAAGAGGAAATGGCTGAAGGACTTAGAGGATAACATATGTCTTGAATTTAGTGACATCATTCATTCTACCCAGTCAGCTCTGGTCTATCCCAGGTACTCTGGGCTCCTGTGCTGAGTTGCCACTCCATCAGATATATCGTCCATTGCTTTGTGCTAAGTTATTGTTAACTTGGAAGTGCGAATCTATGTCTGTGTGTGATTGAAAGTCATGACATCCTCCCTTGCCTGCTTTATATTGAGTATTGAGTATTGAGTGTTTTGTGTGAGGAAACGACGAGTCTATGCCTCTCTTATATTTTGATGCTTTATCTGCAGGCCAAATATAACCAAATAGACAATTTAAAAATTCTCTTTGTTACAGTTTAACAGATGCGACTGAAGACAGTAGAACACTGAAATTGTGCTGATAGTGTCTAAACAGGAACAGTTCTCCAGTGAACTAATCAATAATGACTGTTCATTCATAGCAGCCTAGGCCAGCCCAGTTAAGTGTATATGAAGTATACTAAAATGTAGTCCCCAGAGGCTAATAGCCAAATCTGAGTGCAGTATATGCAACTGGATAAAGATATATAAAGAGAGAGCCTCTATGCATACTCTGGTATATTAGTGTATTATTGAGCCACATGTAAAACAGAGTGGAAAATTTTCAGCTATATCTTTGAAAACTGCATTAAAGTTTACAATTGTGGTGAGTCTGACTATACTCTGCAGTGCAGCATGTAAACATGAAATGCATGCTTGCACACAGATTGTTTCTCCTCGATTGATTTAGAAAAGATGTAGATAGTTAAAATACCTGTGATATCTATATTTATACAACTGGTGTCTGAGAAGTAGAAGAACATGTGTTGGTGAATATTGATTGACTTATTCCACCCAAAGAAGAAAGAGTAATTCTTAGCTGGATTTCAGAGAAGTGGACTTCCTATTCTGTGCAGTTTTGTGGTTTTAAAACATGTATATTTAAAGATACACATATGTTACTTAAGTTTGAGAGAGACAGATAATACAGAATGGCAAAACTTAAAAAATAGTGGAGATAAACTGAAGTGGCTGAAGCCAGCTCAGGAAGTGAATAAGTGACAAACAGTCAGCATAAATTCACAATAATAATGTATTGCAAAAAGAGTCATATTAACAACCTGAACAATTAACTGGACTTCAATTTTTATTGCTACCACAGTTCCCTCTTCTTCAAGTGTTTTGTTCTTCGTTTACTTCTCAAGGCAAGTTGCTAATTATTTTGACAGTTTGCTTGAAGATGGGATGTCATAGCTCCTTAAGGAAGTCTAACAAATTCAGAAGTGCTTTAACAAAAGATGAAGTTCTTACAGGCTTTTGTTTTTTGTTGCCAGTGTTATTTCTTCAAAATGGCAGCTATAGGGTGATGTGGAAGACCCTTGACCTCTGCACAAGATGATAACATATGTTGAAAATTCTTAAAATGGAGAGTGTAGATTTTTTGTCTTCTCCCCCAAATGGAACCATCAATAGGTTCTGACATAGCATGAGAAAACTATCCCAAAGAAGCTATACTGCTACTTGCCTTATTGCCTGCGGTGTAACTTGGAAGTGGCGTCAAGGGATGATGTTATGATAAACACTGATAAGCACAAGGGGGATAAGTCTCACTTTTTTGTTGAAAAATTGTCTGCTTCTGCTGCAAGTCCAGAACCGGCAGGAAAATCCTGATGTTTGGGTAGGTGCATTAATATCTACAGATACTTTTTAGGAAGAGTTGTCTTTAAGAAAGTTGTGGAAATGAAACTGGGGCTTTAAGACTACTCATGCACAATGTGTGTGTGTCATAACTGCTGGTGCTGAATATACTATGTGTATTTTTTGTTTTATTTTCCAAATCAGTACACAGAAGATGAAGCTAGGAAAATGGGAGTAGTTGGCTGGGTTAAAAATACCAGACAAGGGACTGTTACTGGCCAAGTTCAGGGCCCAGAAGATAAAGTAAATGCGATGTAAGTACTTCTGTGTCAATGTGTGTTAGCCTCATTAACCTGTAAAATTTGTTAAAATGATTCTGAAGAGAATGTAAAATTAGATTTAAGTATCAGTGACTTACTATAACAATAACAAATCAAGGTTGTTAGAAACATGCCATCTTGACTTCTGAGCAATAGTTAGCCTTCTGGTGTATGGGAGAACTGGGAAGAGGAGCAAAGAGGAATATTAAAAAATAGAAAAACAAAAAAGAGACTATGAAGTGGGAAAAACAAAAAATTAGAAGGAGGAAAACAGAATAGACAAATTAATAGGATCAGAAAGAAGGAAATGGACAATATCAGGAAAAGTCCACCAATTGTGCCAGGACATAGGATGAGGGAAAATGGTGTTGGTGATGGGGAGGAATGTGTCTGCCTACCTGTCCACTGTAAATAGGGCCTTCCCCTCCAACAACAACAAAAAAGACTTGGAATCACTGCAATGTAATAGTATTTTCCATGGGTCTTCTGTGAGCGAGTGCCCTAAATGATACCATTTTTACCAAGATGTCTACCTCCAGCACTAAGCTCTGAGATACTATTTTAAATTTAAAACTTTTAAAAAAAATTAAAACTGTATGTTCTTGGTGACAAGTGCTAATCCTGTTAGCTTTCATACTGCTTGGATGAATAAAATAGACTTACTTTTTCTCTGATTCTTAAATAACAAATTACTATGAACAGAGTAGTAGATACCCTTATATGGAGGTTGCCTAACCTCAGTATACAAACTTTTCTGACCTGTTTTTCAAGGATTCTAGTTCCTCCGTAAGTTGTAGCAGAACTTCACAATTTTGCAAAAGGATAGTCCTCATATCAGAGACTTGCCTTTTGTTGTCCACATGGAAATCCATTCAGATCTGGTTGAATTATAAAATGTCAGAATTGCCATTTGCAATCTGTATTATGCCCAGCAGAGGTTGCTGAAGGCTCTCTGCTAAAACTTTTCAAGATACCACATGTACGAGGCATGCTCCCCAGTATCTCTTTTTAACATGGCACATATAGCTGTATCTCCAGATGGGAATCAGACAAAATAGATCCTCTTCCTTGTCCTACTTGCCCTATCAAAATACACATTGGGCTAGGGACATTTGCACCAGGCTAGGATCAAGGAGACCTTACACTCATGTTTTCTAACTGCTGTTGGTAATTCAGTTCCTTTCACAATACTTGTCATTGAGCAAGGCCTCATACCACCCTGAGAAGCAACAGAAGCTGAAAATAGAATACGGCAGACAAAAGTCTTATTTCATTAGCCACACTGCCTCTTTTTAATAGATGGTCCACAAATGATTACAGCCTACTCCTGCTGCCAGTTACTGGAGTTACTCCTTTCACTGTAGTGAGTGCCGACTGTGCTGAAGGTCCAGAGTTCAAACCCTGATGATGATCGATTGGGGGTGGATGAGTTACAGTTGCATATAATGTAATTTGCTTACCTCACACAGTTAAGTGACACTATTATATTTTGGTATTACAGTAGTGCTTACTGCCCTCTACTGCGATTGGGTTCCTATTGTGATAGGCACTCTACAAAAACATAGAGAGATTCCATATCCAGAAGAGTTTACAATCAAAGTAAGACAGAGAGATGACGTAACTTGCCTAAGGTCATATAGCAGATAAGTGACAAAATCCAGATTTTCTGAGTCCAACACCCTATCCCCTGGGCCACACTAACATTGCTACAGTTTTGTGGGTTTTTGGAGTGTTTTTACTTTTATATACTTGTCAAATGTGTGAGACATGACAGATGATACTAGTGTTGAGTTTAGTGATGGAGGACAAACCAAAAGAAGTCAGGTGTGTGTGTGTGTGTGAGATGGCAGTTGCTTGGTATAAAGAAAAAAGGAAGTTGTATTAGACAAGGACAATGATTTAACAAAAGGCAGAATCATGAATGGGAGAAAAAAGTCTGAAGGGAGTGTTCAGGAACTTGTTCATTATTGATGTTCAGAATTTTCTCAGGATGTTCTGGCATTTAAAACTCAACTGAGAACACTTGTTTGCTGCAGCTCAACAGAAATGGCTGTCTCTGTTGCTCTCAACCCCTGGTTTAGGCAAGACCTAAAGGAAAAGGTTTTTAAAAAGAAAGATAGTTTCTGTGGCAAAAAAACCTGTCACTTCTGTCACATGTGCCCTTTAATTCAGAAACACCCTTGCTTCTCAAACAAGATTACCGTCCCCAAAGAGAAGCAGGTGATAACTCTCAAATTGGAAGATAAGGAAAGTGGACAAAGTGACTCCAAAAAGTGTTTGCTACCTTATTGCAGAGTACTACCTACTGTAGATGTGTTTCATAGGAAACAATCAGATGGGTGGCAAGCTTCTTATTTTCCAGAGTGTATGACAATATGCCACAAAATATTGCTCATCCATCGCATATTTTGGATAGGCCTTTCCAATGTTTTAACTCATATTTGCTATTGTGAAACATTTAAAAAGAAAACTACCTATTTTGCTCATTCCAGAAATGTGAAGTTCTTAAAGATTAAGCCAAATTATTTGTCATAGTTATTACTTAATTTATTCCACTTTCCGAGGCTTTCCTAACACACATAGTCAACATCTACATTTTGATATCTGTCCCATTATGCAAGACAGTGTCATGCCAGTGGAGCTGAAATTTTGTGTGGAAACTGCTATAATACACTTAACAAATGATATAATGCAGCTCTGATGGTATTATGAGTTTCCGAGGTAAAGCTTATTACAGTAACTGTAGCTTGTTTTAGTTATGAGGCATTACGAAAGCAGTATATGATTGTACATACTTTATTTGCTGTAGCACCAAATCACAATAGGTAAAGTTGAAGACCTAGAGCTTGCCTACACACAAAAGTTGTACCACATAGAGGGGGAATAAGCTATACCAGGGTAAGTTACCTTTATGTTGTTAAAACTGCATCCACACTAGAGGTTTTACTGGTATAATTTCAGTAAAAAAATCCCACACACCCCCAACCAAAATAGTTATATGGTAGAAAAACTGTGTAGGCTTGGCGATAGCTTCAAACATAATCCTATAGAAGCACAGACATTTCAAATTTTGATTTTATGTGCATTTCATTGTTATTAGTATTTTAATGTCAGGAGTATCAAATCCAAAAAAGTAGATACTTCTATAAATCATGGGCTGTTGTGGAACCATTTTAGTAGATTTTGATTATGTTCTTTAGGAAATATTTTGCATGGTTTTATGACACCGTAGCATATAACAACCATTGTTTCATTGGAAAGATTTGTGTAAAGATTTGTATAACAAAGTGTACTGTGGGTTGGGTGCATTATAGTGTAATGTTACTGTGACAAAGTTCCTCCTCTGCCTTGGTGGGTCCAGTGCTTATTGGCGGATTTGCTCGCCTCAGAGGTTCACAGCAGCCCTCAGTTTGACCACTTTCGTAGCTCAAATCTGCCGTTCATTCAGTTAGCCTCATCACTGGCCAGCATGGGGAAAAGGAAGAAGAACAATCCCCACAGTCTCTGCTGATCCACCTAGTGGATCGGGGAACAGGCCAGAGACCTTCCCCTCTGGTGTAACCTACAGTCCAGTTCAACTCCTCCAGTATCAAGTAGGGAGTTGCGGGGATGGGCGGAACCCGGGCCCGCCCTCTACTCCGGATTCCAGCCTAGGGCCCTGTGGATTGCAGCTGTCTACAGTGGCTCCTGTAACAGCTGCGTGACAGCTACAACTCCCTGGGCTACTTCCCCATGGCCTCCTCCCAACACCTTCTTTATTCTTACCACAGGGACCTTCCTCCTGATGTCTGATAATGCTTGTACTTCTCAGTCTTCCAGCAGTATGCCTTCTCACTCTCAGCTCCTAGTACCTCTTGCTCCAAGCTCCTATCACACGCACACCACAAACTGAAGTGAGCTCCGATTTGAAACCCAGGTGAAACAGGCCAATCAATTAGCCTGCCTGTCTTAATTGATTCTGGCGGCTTCTTGATTGGCTGCAGGTGTTCTAATCAGCCTGTCTCCCTTAATTGTTTCCAGAAAGTTCCTGATTGTTCTGGAACCTTCCCTGTTACCTTACCCAGGGAAAAGGGACCTACTTAACCTGGGGCTAATATATCTGCCTTCTATCACTCTCCTGTAGCCATCTGGCCTGACCCTGTCACATTACTTCTTAGGTAATTTGTAAAAAAGTAACTATACTGTATATATGCAGTTGTAGTTCTATCTGGTACTTATATTTTTAATTAAATTATTTAAATTAGGAGTAAGTAGTGTAAGTAAATTATAGAGATATATACTAAAATTTTACATAGCCATATTGGATTTTGTGTTTAACTCACATATGTATAAAAGGGACTTTGCCCTTTAGTTGCTTTTTAAACCTCTTTATCTTTACCTTATTTTCCTTTGATTAAATATCCAAATCACTAGTCGATGTTATGGAATAACAAGGTCACATTTCTTGTTTTATTTTGGACATTTTTGAGGTACAAAGATAAAAACACTTTTCATTTGGTAAGCTGGTAGTTGTAGAGGTGTGTTCACGTCCTATAATGTAAAACCTTTGTACTTTTCCTAAACTTTTAAAAAATAGAGCCTATATTAATTTTTAGCCTAAAGCAATGTGTTAATTTTTTGTATGTCCTTGAAGAATCATGATTTTTAAAAAATGGAACATTGGCAAACCGTTATCTGTTGTAAATGTATTTTTTAATTCTTGTGAAATAGTTCTGTGAAGAAATAGGCTGAGGAACTTTCTAGAATGCTTGTTGAACTCATATTTTTTTAAAATGGTTTTCATACAATATGTATGATAAGAAATCAAAACATATAAATCTGGATTTCAAAAAAGGCCTGCAGTCTCTACCATCAGGAAATGAAAACTTCAAATGCTGC